AATAAATAAATAAATAAATAAATAAATAAATAAATAAATAAATAAAACAGCTGTCCTGTCGAAGGCAGCAGTGTGGAGACAGATAAAGCAGGCACATTCCCTGAAAGAATAAGTCTATGTAGGGGTTATATGCACTGACCCGGGATGGAAGCAGCAGTCTGACAGCCAGTCGGTGTGGCTGGATCCCGTGAGAAGTACGTTGCCCTTTGGGAGACCCACCATCTTCCAGAGGCGATCCTCACTACAGGAAACCAGGATGTCTTTGCGGGGGTGCATGACAATACTGCACAGTAAAAGAGAAGGAACATTATGGAGGGATAAAGGCAAGAAGTTTCCAAATTCAAATAGATGAAAGGGCAGTAGCTATCCCATTCCAGCAATGTGGGTTCATAGTGCGCTCACCCACAATTTTACAGGAAGCAGAACTCTACATCTCAGCTATAGCTCTATCCATAAAATCTTTCCCAGATTTATCAGTCTAATCACCTCACTGGGTCTCAGATTCCGCATTTATAAACTGAGGTGGTTGGTGGTGGTGATTGTGCGTGTGTAATTCTGGTTTTAGAGCAGAAAGTGTCTTTTCTTTCAGGGAAGAAAAGTTATACCAATGATATTTCTGTGTTAGGGTATTTGGACCAATGCCATGCTTATGCAAAAGAAAGAAAATCATTTGCATAATACAGTCTGTCTTCAATCAGGCATTAACTAGGAAAATATCATAGATGATAATCACATTATCATAGTTCTATAATAAATACCATCAATGAAACATTAACTCGATGACCCACTATCTACACGGTGAGACAGAGCTCAACTCCGCTAACATGCTACTTAAGCTAGTTTCAGTCAATGCACAGTATGCAAATTATGGTAATGCATTCAAGATGCATAAGACAATCCTCAGTCTACAAAGGCCTAGAGTGTACAATTAATGGTTAATACATAAAGAACTATTATTTGAACTGAACACTGATCATTGTGGCTATTTAAATATTGGAGCTAAACTACTCTAAAATCGGATCTACAAACTTAACGCCAGATAATTTATCCATGACAATGTTTCAGTCTTATTTATATAGTCTCATCTGTGCCTTACAATGCAAATGACCAGATAGATCAGTATTAATCACCTATTAATATTCAAGCTAATAATAATATCAATATTAGCAACAAAATGCCCAATTTCACATTGAACATGTCAGTTCCAAAATACAACATGTTTACTTGCCTAGAGAGCATAATGAAATGAAAAATGACCCTAAGAACTATCAATTACATAGTCATTTCTCCATTTTGTGAATGATCTTATTATTTTGTTTTGCAATATGGACTTTGGGAATTAAGTTTCCTAAAGAAATCATGGATCCTGTCTGTACTTATATAATTCCAGGTCTTACATGACATTTTATTCTCATTATCTATTCCCTCCATCCACATCATTAACTGCCCCCCAGCAAACGATGGACTGAACTATTACCTTGCTTTAGACCTACACATCTTCAGAAACAGGTTGATGTCAGAATTCACTTCACAGCATTATATTCATCATGAGCAAGGACATATAACTAATGAAATACTGTTTTACTTATACAAAAATATATATATGTATATATTAGTATTTTATTGCTCAAAATAAATACAATGGAAAGAAAATGATTCATTTTTCAATTCATCCTAATGTTGGCTTTGACTTTCAGAAGGCAAATTCAAGAAAGAATTTTATTATAGTTCAAACTGGGTAGAAGATACATTTATGGAACTTAATTAGAAGAAAAATATGATGAGAGGTAAAAATGTCAGGTTGAAACGAATTCTGTATTCAAACACAAGGAGAAGGCAAAGCAAGTTCTTGGAGCTACTGAGTATGATGCATGTTAGTGCACAGCTTTCCTGGCAGACACAGACACACTTGACTAGATGATAAATTACCCTCTTTAAGTGAAGATAACTAAAATCCTTGATGTCTTTACGAACTTTGAGAGATAAGTTTCCAAAATGACTTTTGCGAGGAGAGCTATTTGTAGAAGTTAGAAAGAAAATATAAACAGAAATTTGGTGCTGGCACATCAGTTTGGAAATGTGTTCTGACTCTCCTCATCCCTTATGCTTTGGAGCCCTTGCGGCACATGGCAGCAGCTTCTTCCATTCCATGCCTCTG